TAATGATCCATTGTTAGGCTGATGGTCCTTCTTGAGCATGTGATCAGCTGGTTTTGGTTGTCAGCAGCAAAACTGGTTGATCCACTCTGAGAAGGTGCTATTTAAGAGACTGAGCTGAAAACAGCACCTCAGACTGAAGAAGTCTCTCGGACGAGAGACGAAACGTTTCTACATTTTTTGTTGTTTTGCTTTGTTTTGTTTTTTTTGAATGTCCAGAGGACCAGATTTAACTTTTTTAGATTTTTCTACCTGGATTATTGAGCATGCATCTAGCCATTAAAAATTACAATCAACTCTGCCTTTCTGCCAGCAACATTTATCATAAACCACTGGGTGGATTTTAATGAAACTCTCAGCAAGTAATAATTGGACATCTACATCTTATTAATTTTTCAAGTCAACCCAATTCAATGTGGCTCCCACAGCTAAGCCAGCTTAGCCAATTTTATAGATCTTGAACTAAAGTTTGGTGTAGCTGAAACTGATCCCCTAAACATGCTTGGAGTTTTACACATTGCAATATATTTTTACTTAACTTGGTCATTAATTGTTGATGTCAACTCTGTTGATGTGTTAGCATAATACGCTATGTAACAGAGTCTTTTTAATGTAACTCTCAAAGTAATCGCTGGATGTACATCAACTGAATAACTTTTGGAATCAGCACAGTTTAAGTTGGCTACAACAGCTAATTAACACAAAAATAGCTAAAACATGGTAAATTTTGCAGATATTAAGCTAAATTTAGTGTTAGCTGAGTCATCCTTCACATGGAGTCTTGCAATATCACGAGATTTCAATTGTGGCAGGTGATGTGTATGTATTAATGTAGTTGATTGTTTTCATTTAGTTTGTTAGAACAAACAATATAAGACAAAACAAACAGTTTTTCTGATGAAATCATGGACCTCTTGTGTTGATACATTTGGGTTTTTGAGAGTATGCCTGCTTGGGTGATTTTAGAAATATCTATATATGAACCTACCGGTGTATATACTGTATGTGAATATACAGATATGAACATGTTGCTTTTGCACATTTGACTGCATTCTGGTGTTTGGCCACCTGGGTGAAACATTTTCAGATTGTATCTGAAATGATACAGAATGTCAACAAGATACTGCAACTCCCCACCACCTGTACCTTAACTAGATGTTGCTTTGATGGCTTAAATAAAAGAACGAACAACGTTTTCCATCTGTTTCATGCATCTCTGTTTTATCCACCAGGGAAATGCCCAGAAAAATCACAGCTTCCATGTAACAGCTTTTCACCAATCGTCTTGTGTTTTGTCAGGAAAGCTGGATTTTTATTGGAAACTGTATTTCATTGTTACTCTGCCAGACTGTTTTTCCCTTTTATGTCCCAACAAGCTTCTTCGTGTGTCTGCTGTCAAGCTGCTGTTTCATCTTGGAGACATTTTAGAGAATGATGTG